ATATAAGGTTTCCGTGAAAATTGTTTAAAAAAATGCATTAGAAAATTGTTATTTTTTAACAATTATTATTAATAATATTTATCACAAAATAATTTATTACAAATTAATTACAAAATATTATTCTGCCAATTCCCTTATTTTACAATTCCTACCAATTTCTATGTATCGATCTCCTAGGTCGTTGCCATGCGTTTATAACAAATAAATTGTTTATAACAAATAATTGCGTCGCTAAGACAAAGGGAACAGTCGAACAGTTATCGACAGCAGCTTTTAGTATAAGGACATGAATAAATGTCGTTAATTTCAAAGTCCGGAGTTCTTTATCTTACAAAATGGGGTAGGACAAGCGCATTAGATGAGGTTAGGTACGAGGGTCGTATGCTGCAAATGGTAAAAAAAGTTGTAAAAAAAGTAATCTGTGTATCCTCAATAGCTTTGTAGGTCTGGAATTGTGCAGTCAGCCGCGCGATTAACGCGACACTGTGTCCTGCATACTTTCACGTTCTCTCGTTCCCTGATCCGTAGCTGGCACATTGTTCTCGTCCCTCTTAAATAGCGACGTCGATCGATGCACGTCGAAACGCATAAACGTCTCCGTTAAACGTTCCCCGCTAATCGAGCCGACGCGGTAATAAGCGCGGAAAACTCGTGACCCGCGATTTACATACCGTTGACCGCAGACTGCTTTCACGATTACTCGCTGCTTTTGCCTGACGGGTCGACCTTGGCCGCCGTCGGTCCTCGTTTCCGCAGTTCTTTATCGCATGCTCTACGTTCCGAACCAATGACGCCGTTAAACCAAAGAGTCAGCATTACTTTTAAAACTAGAAATTCTGTTTCGATCAATTTTGGTCTTTAACCAGTTAGTTATGGTACCTTTTTTAAAAAAATGGACGCCCATGGACCTAAAAAACGATGCACTATTGCTGGGATTTGTGATGCTGCAAGCGTGAAGGGTTTTCTAAGATTTAAGCCATTTTGTATGGTCAATGAGTGGCGCACTCTTCATAGTTAACGTCTGTGATTATAATATCGTCCAAAAGCTTCCGATTTACAAGCTTCCTATAAGAATTGATGATGTTGAGATTTGTGATGCTGCAAGCGTGAAGAGTTTTCTAAGATTTAAGCCATTTTGTATGGTCAATGAGTGGCGCACTCTTCATAGTTAGCGTCCGTGGCTATAATATCGTCCAAAAGCTTCCAATTTACAAGCTTCCTATAAGAATTGATGATGTTGGGATTTGTGATGCTGCAAGCGGAAGGGTTTTCTAAGATTTGAGCCATTTTGTATGGTCAATGAGTGGCGCACTCTTCATAGTTAACGTCTGTGATTATAATATCGTCCAAAAGCTTCCGATTTACAAGCTTCCTATAAGAATTGATGATGTTGAGATTTGTGATGCTGCAAGCGTGAAGAGTTTTCTAAGATTTAAGCCATTTTGTATGGTCAATGAGTGGCGCACTCTTCATAGTTAGCGTCCGTGGCTATAATATCGTCCAAAAGCTTCCAATTTACAAGCTTCCTATAAGAATTGATGATGTTGGGATTTGTGATGCTGCAAGTGGAAGGGTTATCTAAGATTTGAGCCATTTTGTATGGTCAATGAGTGGCGCACTCTTCATAGTTAGCGTCTGTGATCATAATATCGTCCAAAACTTCCGATTTACAAGCTTCCTATAAGAATTGATGATGTTGGAATTTGTGATGCTGCAAGCGGAAGCGTTTTCTAAGATTTAAGCCATTTTGTATGGTCAATGAGTGGCGCACTCTTTACGTAACGTCCACGTATCTCCATGGCCATAATAGCGTCGAAAAGCTTCCAATAAGAATTGATAATGATGAAAGAATGCAAGAATAGGTGTTTTAAAAGTAGTAGACAGGAAGATCAGGAAAAAGCAATGAAGTTTTATAGATGGCAACACTGGTTAGTTATAGAAAATGGCCGAATGTTACCCCAACGAACTGAGCTTCACCCCTGCGTCTATAAAATCACTCATCGTCCTTTAAATATACCTAAATTCTGACGTAAAACGAGTATACTCGTTTATCATAATAAAAAATATTGCCACGAGTCCTGACGAGGCGCACACGACGAATATGCTCACAGCTAACTGGTTAATCGCCGTTTGGTACAGCGCGCTCCGCGTTTATTTAACTCCCGAGCTAATTGACAGTTACTGCCAGAACGGAATATAAAATAAACGCAGCGGTAGTAAATGAACGTATTGTTTGAGTCAAGGTCCGAGCCAAGGAGTAGTAGGACTATTTTTAAGCGGGAGATTATACAATATCGCATTCCGGTTAACGCGTTCGCGTGTTAATTAACCGCGGGTTGCAACCGCGAGTCGTGATTCGCAGGTGCGAAAGCCCCAAGTATTCCACCGATAATCCGATATCGAATTCGCACGCTGGTCGACGTGATAAGGGTTGAAATTAGCGAGACTAACTCCCTAGGAACTAAAATTCGTGTCTTTTGGCCATACAAAATGGCTTCTTTCGAGAGCTCAGCTTTTAGGAAGAGGAAATTTGTGTAAACGTTTCTTGTGAAATGGATCCATTAGCGAATTTTCCGATGGTAAAGAACGGATAAACGGATGGACAGCAGTGGCACGCGAACACTTCGAAGGTTTCAAAGTTATTTTAAGTGCTTCGAGATGCGTCGATCGATGGCGTCGTTGCTTTAGGGAGATCATTAACGTTCTAATAGAAAAATTGTGTCCTTTTTCTTACAATTTTCATTGGTTGGAGTCAAATCGATTCACGGAATGAACGTATTGAATATTAACAGAGATTCAAGCGGGAATTTAATTGGTGAATTTTCGTAAATTGATTCAAGCGAAAATTGGGGAATATGGAATATCCTTTTGGCGTCCATCAAGCTTAATCGACGGGATATGCACCCGGTCCCTAAAATGTGTCAAACGCAACGCGTGTCAAGGAGGAGTTTTGAACCAGAGCGGTTTCTTCGCGTGGGGATTTCATATTTCATTTTTCAACCCTGGTTTTTTTTTTTTTTTTTTAATCGGTTGTGACGAGGACAGGCGTCGATGGGCCGTCACAGTGTAAGGGCGTTTATTATCGACCAGGATAACGTTGTTTGCGATGTCAGTAAGCGAAAGGTGCTTCAGCAATTGAAACTAGGCCAGCTTAAAGGAGATGCGGTTGAAGCAATCCGAGCTATCCTCGTGCGAACTATCTGTTGGTCCCGTTAATCCTTCAAGTGCTCCGCTTAAAGGTTAAATTCATATTTCCTATCGTCCGTTATTAAATTCTTTTCGGGTCTCTTGTGGTGGTAGTCTTGATTTTATGAGGGTAGATGGTTTCTCGTATGTCCTTAGGCCAAGACTTCCTATAGTCATCGAGGCAAAGAGCCAAAGCAATAAAACATTTCAGGCGATTTCATCTTCGTTTTCGAGGGTGCTAGCTTCCCCACTTATGGGAATTTTGTAGGGGAGTATAGTTTTAGGGGGTGAGGAAGGATCAGGGATACCAGAATGTAGGATTTCTCCTCTTCCCGAGCTCTCCCCACCTACATATGGCATTATTAGACATGTCTCCAATGATCATGGGTAACGTAAGTGGGGGCAAAAAAAAGTAGTGGGGGAAGAGGAGAAATCCTACATTCTGGCATCCCTGGAAAGGACTTTGTTAGCTTCCCCACTTATGGGAATTTTGTAGTTTTAGGGGATATCGAATCTTTAAGGACGATATCATCCTAGAAGGTAGATCAGAGTTCTAGTGTAATTTTGTTATATAGGGAATAAATTGTTACTAGAATAATCGAACTTCGTTTAATGTCACATCCCATGAACATTGCAAACTCTCATCAATTTTATTCAATAACGTTTTTTATATTTGAACACTGCTTAGCTCACTCGTCGTTTTGTCTGTTACAGAATTGCCTGCCGAGGAGGGTAAGTAAAAAGGTTTCCTCTCCCCGCGCCCTGACGATCGTCGAGGTAAGCCGTTTCGATGACAAATTGGCATTGATTTTATGCAAACCGTCGGATAAACCACGGATAAATCTCGTCTCTATTTCGACACGAAGTTCTTGTTAACCGTACTTAATATACTATATTAACTATAATATAGTACAGTATAGTATAATTTTACACTAGTATACTGATATTAATCATGGACCTAAAGGACGTAGCATAAAATAGGATTGTAAATGAGAGTGGATGGAAGAACAAACGTAAGGGGGAGTAGATTGCTAGTTAACACCTAGTGCCATCTGTAGCATTCCGTCGGTTTAAACTGTTGAACATTGCTAATGAGAAAGCATCAGACCTAACTAAACAACAGGTTTTGTTGTAAATGAAATTATAAGAAACCTACGATTACTCAATTAGAATACTTTACTAGTTTTGGAATAGTTGCTATGAATTGATGAAATGTCAATAAATGTTAATCAATATAAACGAAAATTTTGTAAAATACTACAGAATCGTTGCTTATTCTTAAGATCGTCTTGAACATTTGCTGTTCCTGTCTATCCAAGATTTCCTTGTTTCATACAGGAAACAGGTACTTAAGTAAATACTTAAGGCGGTTTTAATTATAAGTAACGACTCTGAATACTGGATTATATGTCCCATTGAAGTGAATTTTTTTTAGTCAGATATAATGGAATACATGAAGAAAATGAGCATGAAAATAACAAGAAATTGCATAATATTGTATATACGAAGAGAATAATTTCCAAAATGAACCACAAATCTTCTAATACGTACTTTCAACTGTGCACCAAAATGTGACCAGAAGTTTGTTGCATGAGAAGGGCAGCGCATGCGCCCATGACTTGCACCGTACTTGCCTTTTTCGGCACCCATCACCACTTCAATACTACGTCCTTTAGTTCCATGATATTAATTGATGTTTCAAGAGAGTTTTCAACAACTAAAACTATAAAACAAAACGACTAGTAGATAAATGAACATATATATAAAAAAAAGGCGGCAATTCTAGTGTTACAATTGTTAACGATAACGTATCCAAGTGAAATCGTTTAACTGAGGCTATTTACTTCTGGCAATCATCAATTATTGTACTTATGTGGAACGATACTTACCGCCAGACACTTTGCCGACTGATTATATCGATGACTCGTTGCCGTACGTCATTACTGACGAACAAATCCCTACCATTGCTGTTCGGTCGCATACTTGCATCGGACGTGGCAATGATGACAGGGACATCGTGCCTGGACGCGTAATGATCTCGTGAGGTTTCAGATCACGTAAAGCCGAGGCTTCCCCCTATCTTCCTTGTTTACCTTCGCTACCCATAATCTATCGTATCCTTTAAAAATGATCGCGGGTAGGTTTATACGTTCATAATTTTAAGTCGGTTAGCCATCGCTCTTAAGCGGCTTCATATTATTTCCTCGAACTAAACGCGTTCCTTTTTCATTATTGTAGAAAACAGTTAAATGGTTTATCTTGAAATGGCACGGAATGCGTCAGAGTTCATGCCTCCAAGGAAACTAACCAGCAGATATTTATTTCTTTATTCATCAATATGTATAGAATGTTTCCTTAATGGTAGGAAAACTTTAGGATGCTTAGAGAAGACAAGGAAGTTATATTAATAGAGGTTTGAAAATGATTAGTTGTTTAAGTTTTTTAAGTTTTTGTGCCACACTTCAGATGTTCAATATGTCCACATCCTGTCTCAGGACAAGCCTTAGCTCATTGAGCTCAGAATAGATTAAAGAGTTCTCTGGGGTCATGAACCCCACAGAAAGAAGTCCAATGGGTTTAAATTAAATCTCTTGAGCAATTGGTCCACCTCTGCCTATCCACTTATCAGGAAACTAATCATATCCCATATTTTTACAATTTTTACAATTTTACAAATTTTACAACTACAAAATTTCCATAAGTGGGGAAAATATATCACATATTTTCTTCTTTTCTAAGCATTAGGAGTCTATTCCTTAGCTTTGACCACCATTTATGAAACACTATGGCCGGTATTTAGAGTCGTTGCTTATTCTTAAGATCATCTTAAGAATTTACTATCCCTGTCTATCCCATATTTCCAGTCCGTGTCTTCTACAGGGAACATGGTCTTAAGAAAATGGTTAAGACGATCTTAAGAACAAGCAACGACTCTGAATACCGGCCTATATGCTGTTACATCTAAGATATAATTAGCACCCTAAAGAGGTAGACGATCTGCACCTAAGTCTGGACTTAAACGATGCTAGCACGTCGAATTTGTGTTCAATGGGTTTTTTGAAAAATTATAGTCACTTAAAATTTGCACTCTTATGGTGATCAGCAATAATTCAAAGAAAACTCTACTTTGATTTCGAAAATAATTGATAAACTCTTGAAAATAAGTCATATTAGATCACAAAAAGTACAACTTTTGGGATTCATGTATATAGCTAATACATTCTTAACACTAGATTGCCCAAGGAAGTAATTTTGACTGGTTTTGGGCAAATGTACAA